CCTCCCCCTCCCCCTCCCCGCCGGGCACACTGCCCCTGGAGGTGCCCGCGGAGCCGGAAGCCACAGAGCAACAAAGGCTGCTGCAGAGCCGAGGCCCCAGCTCCCGGGGCACCAGGCACCGTGTGGGCGTCTGCCGCGGGGCTGCACAGCTCTGCGTGTGTGCATGCTAGTGTGTGCGTGCAGGTATGTGTGAGCGCGTGCCTGTACACGTGAGCGTCTGCACCTGTGTATATGTGACTGCATGTGTGCATGTACATGTGAGCATGTGTTGGTGTGTGGGCATGTGCACGTACGGGTGTTGTGCATGTGTGTACATGTAAGTGCATGTGTGCGAGTTCGTGTGAGCTTGTGCATGTGAGTGTGCATATATTTGTACATGTCAGTGTAGTGTGTGTGCATGTACGAATGTGCGTGGAAGTATACACACATGTACATGCATGTGTACCTGTGAGTGTATGTGTGCACATGTGCATGCATCTGTACATGTGCGCATGCATATACATGTATGCGTGCATGCAAGTGTGCGTGTGCATGTATGCATACACATGTAAGAGCGTGCACATGTACATGTCCCACCCGCTCAGCTCCCAGCACTCAGCTCCCAGTCCAGCCTGGCTGCCCAGCACCGGGGTGAATCAGCGCCACCACGGGGCAAGGCACCAGCACAGACTGGCAGTGCCGTTCCATGGATGCCAGCCCAGGGCAGGGTAGGGGGGCCCAAGGAGATGGGGCAGGAAAGCCAATGGGGACTGGGAGCACTGTGCTCATGGAGGGGGCACTGCATCCTTGGAGAAGAGGGGGTTGGGGCCTCTGCCCGGTTTGGCAGCCCACTCCTTGCACACGTGTGCATGTGCACAAACTTGCATGCCCATGCATGGACCACGGAGACAAGGGACAACTCGGACCCTTCCACTCCAGGAGACCCTCCCTGTGCTCCTGGCGGTACAGGGGCCATGATACAGGGCAGCCCCGTGTCTACCAGGCAAAGAACCCAGGAGTCCTGCGTGCCAGCCGGGGGTCCAGGCTCCTCGAGGAGCTGGGGGGAGCAGCCCAGAGGCTTGGCTCTGCCCCTCCTGCTGCAGCCCAGAGTAGCACCCCCGAGTCTGGACCCTAGCCTGGGCTGCAAGGCCCAACACAGCAGTCATGAGACAGAGCATGCGCCGGCCTCGTCTGGCTGGGCATCCAGGAGGTTGGCACCTTCCCCAGCGCCAGCCACAGACACAGACCCGCAGCCTGTTTCCCTCCCAAGTGGCCACTTTCTCTTTGCCTGCTTCCAGGGCCCAGACTAACCACGGCCCTTTAGTGCTGACCGCAGGGCTGAGCCTTCCCCTGGCACACGGCACTTCCCCTGGTGCTGACGTGGCCGAAGGAGGCTGCAACCTCTGTGAGGCTGGTGCCTGTTCCCAGAGCTGCGCTTGTACATGGGGCTGGACCCCTGTCCTGGCCTGGCGCTGTCCTTGGTGCAAACTAGAGCAGCCCTGGGGGGGCTCTGGCTGCCTGGGGCTGCAGCAGGGACCTGCCACTGCCCAGGGCACTCTGCTCCCCGCTGACCAGGGGGGCTGCTCTGCCCCCCCGCCGAACCCTTGTATGACACGGATCCGTCCCAGGGCATCTGCAGGAGGGCAGGGAGGGAACTTGACCTCCCTGGGGGCACAGGTTTTCCCCGTGCGGCACCTCCCTGGCCACAACGGCTTCCCCCCGGCATCTCTCGCCCACATCAGCGGTCGCAGCTCCGGGGTTCCCTGCCCGCCGGGCACTTGCCTGGTAAACCTCAAGTCTCAGTTGATAAGGATCAGCTGCCGCGGCTCCGCTGCACTGGTGGGGTGATGGGGGCCACGCGACCGCCCTGGCTGCTCTGGGACGCTCGGCGTCTGGGCAGCTTGTCAGGGCCTGCTAATTGCCTGGCGCCGGTGAGGCCGGGCAGGCCGGCCTCCACGAGAGCAGCACAGCTCGATAGCTCCGTGCCAGGGCAGGGGAAACAGCCTTTTCCCCCAGCGCCCGGCTCTACTCAGCGCTTCCTGCCCAGCTGCCGCAGGGCCGCGCCTGCCGGCACGGAGCAGGAACACAGCATCCGCCTGCGCTGGCAGTCACGGCAGCCAGGAGGCTGCTGGGCCTCACCAGGGTCGCGCTCCGGGGCAGGGGCCATGGCCTTGGCCCCAGAGTCAAGACCTGCCTTGCCTGGTGAGGCAGGCAGAAGCCCCCGGCCTGGCCTCAAGGGCTGCCCAGGCCATGCGCAGAGCCACTTGATTGCCATGCCTGGGCAATTATTTTGGGCAGAGGGCTGCCTACTGAGTTTTGGCAAGCCATCGACAGGCAGCCCGGGGCAGATAAATATTAATTTTCTAAACTTTTTAGGGGCCCTGTGGGCTGGATAGAATAACCCGGCGGGCCACATCCAGCCTCCAGGCCACATTTTGCCCACCCCTGCCCTAGGGTCTCCCCATGGCAGCTAGGGGCCTGTGGGGTCAAGGGTCAGGGGTCCCCGGCTGGCAGGGGCAGAGTTTGGGAGGCAGCCATTGACCCCTGACCCTTGACCCCCCACCTGGGGCAGGACTCCCTGGGGAGCCCCCGGGCTGCCATGGGGACCCCTTAGGGCGGGTCCCCAGGGCCTGGGGGTCAGGGGGTGCCGGTGGCCTCCCACTGCCTGCCCCTGCCAGCCGGGGACCCCTGACCCTTGACCCTCCCCACCTGGGCTTTCTGGGGGGGGCATGGTTGCCATGGTGACCCAGAAGGCTATGTCACCTGGGGCAGGACTCCCTGGGGAGCCCCCGGGCTGCCATGGGGACCCCTTAGGGCGGGTCCCCAGGGCCTGGGGGTCAGGGGGTGCCGGTGGCCTCCCACTGCCTGCCCCTGCCAGCCGGGGACCCCTGACCCTTGACCCTCCCCACCTGGGCTTTCTGGGGGGGGCATGGTTGCCATGGTGACCCAGAAGGCTATGTAGGGGGGGGTGTTTCGGGGGGGGGTTAGCTTAGGCCCTAGTGCATTCTGGGAACCCCTCTGGAGGCCTTCGTGGAGGCCCCGCCCCCCAGTGCCCGAGCGCGGGGAGCCCCCGAACACGCCCCTGGCCCTTTAAAAACAAAATGGCCGCCCATTTCCCAGCCTATCTCCCCCCTTCGCCCCGCCCACTTCTGCCGCTTCCGGGGAGGGG